AACCATATTGAATGACTCACTCAATATCTGGGAGCCACTAATGAAAAGTAATTTATACTGAGTAAGATTCAAATTTATTTCAGTTGACACATTGCAATGAATGAGAACTAAGTAAACCACAATACAATATTTCGCACACTGTTAGATTGGAAGGATTGGCACATGAAGTAAAACAATCACCTTTAATGGCTTCTTGGTCAACTTTCCATTAGCTAAGAAAATCTCTGTAAGGGAACTCTTCCCAACCCTGTATGGTGTTTTCATCCCATTTCTCTCCAACCTCTTGAATGCACCCTCAAATTCCTCACCACCTTACAATACTGTACACAACTTACCCCCTTCTCAGAAACCACCAGTCTGTACTTTATTTTTCTGTCACATTCAGGACTTCCTCTCCCCTTAACTTTCTTAGCTGGGCTCCCTCTGAGATCATATCCTTTTCTTACTGAAGGCCATGTTTGAGATTTTCACTGTGTATCCTTCAGATAATGCCTTCTAAGAGCCTTCATTCTCCCTAACACGCTGTCCTTTACTCAGCATCCTCATTGTCTTGTCTGTGAAGTGGAAATCCACTCAAATCTACACATTTCCCATCACCAGCTAGGCCTCTCAACATTTTCCAGCTTATAGGCAGGGGCTAATAGCTTCTCAGAATTTCTGAGAGGGGAGGTTACATGTTTATATAAAGGTGTTCCTTAGCTATTATTTTTATCCATTCACTCGGACGATGCACAAACAAGAGCTGCCACCATCTGAAAATAAATGCTGCAGACTCAATTGGTATTTTAAATTTTACCTTTTATTCATAGCCCTCAAATATACCTCAAAATAATTAAATACTACCCCATGGCTTTAAAAACACACAAAAATGTATCAAAATATTTGTATTCCAAAGATTATGTACATATTATACACTTTACAGTATATATGTAAACAGGGATAGCTTCTCCTCAAAACATAAGACAAATCCTCACTGTGGCAATTAGAAAACCCCATGAATTTGCACACACAGTCCAATGAAAGATTAAAAGGAGATCACTTCTTTTTTTAAAAAAAAATTATAAAAAGAAAAAATTCAGAACCTCTATGAAAGCAAATTATCATGCAGGTAATACAAAAATTACCTATATTACACTCATATTAAAAGGTAAAAGTAAGAGCAAACTTCCATCATGGATATTACATGGTTTCTTTAACTGAGAAAGCAGTGTTTGGAGATTTTTCCATCAGTGAAAAGAGACTAACTTTGTTTCCTGTGTGGAATACATTGGAAAGAGGGCCAGAGTGGCATAATGGTTAAAACGTTTGACTAGAACTTTTGTTGTTTAGTTGTTTAGTTCTGTCCAACTCTTCGTGCCCGCATGGACCAGAGCACGCTGGACTAGAACTGGCAAGACCCACATTCATGTCTTTGCTCAACCATAAAAGCTCAATGAGTGACTTTGGGCTAGTCACTTTTCACAGCCCAGCTCACTTCTCACGGTTGTTGTGCAGAGGCGAGTGCCTGGCCTTGAGTTCGGTAGAGGAAAGGTAAGCTATAAATATAAGAAACCAATTAATTCTTCACCTGATGGAAGAATGCTTTATGACCCTTATAAAAGTTCTGGAAGTTTTTTTGTGGCTAGCCTGTGCAAGTGCAGTTGAAGTTTTCCGATCATGATCCATCTGCAACTGAAACCTTGTTCATCAACGACAAGATCTCCAATCAGTGCAGAGGTATCTGAGATTTCAACACTTTCAGTGTTGTCCTGGGCTCATCTGTAGATTAACGATCAAGGTCAAAACTGCTACATCATGATGCATCCTTGACTTTTCTGGGAGCAGAGAATCACCCAAAAGTTATACAGAAACCATTCTGTCCACAGACCAAACTCGATCCAGCAAGAAGGCTGAGTTCATCATGATCACAGAAATTAAAACAGGTCCTCAGATACTTTAAGAGCATCACCCACTGAGTCATCCACACATATGGGTTTGGCTGTCAACTAGTCCAAAGAACAGAGTTTCGGGATTTATTTTCCATAATGGAAACAGACCAGCACCCTATATTCTACACAGGCCACTGAACCGTCACCCAGGGCTAGTATTTTGTTCCATGCACCTGACACTCCTGGCAAAACCTTACGGTACAACGAATGACCACATGTGGCACATTTCCTAAGAAAACACATCAGCCATTGCCTTGGGCAATCTGATCACTATACAGTTTGTGGAGCAGATTATTCTGCAACAGGGAGCATAGAAGTCACCAGATGCTCCAGGCTATACAGTTTGTGGAGCAGATTATTCTGCCACAGGGAGCATAGAAGTCACCAGATGCTCAGGAATCCACCAGCAGTAACATGTATCACAATTAAGATACAGGGATTCCCCCCCTCCACCTGAGGCACTCATGCATATCTGTAGGACATGTTAAAGACCGATTATCATTAGATAAACAACACAGACATCCTCCATTCAACCACACAACATATGGCCTCAATGTGCTTCCCTAAAGTCAAGTGGTGTACACAAAATAATTTATCTTCCACTAGGGATGTAAATCATCACTTGTTTTCCAATGAGCACAAAGACTAGAAACCACAACATGGCCCTTCATACCCCACAAGGGAGCAGCATATTTCGTCATACTCTTGACAGAGAAGAACCCAAAGGCACACTTGCACAAATTAAGCAGAACAGCACAAATACGGCTTCAACTCGAATAACACACGTTGCCCAAAATGAGGATGCCTGCATAGATTTTTAAGGATGAGAAGTGTGGAAAGGGTTGTTTGTTTTAAAGCCATCAACCAGTCATTATTTTGCTTCTCATTTTTACACAGAGACCACTTGTGCAAACTTTTGACAAAAAGACAACACAAAACCCTTCATATCTTGCTCTCACCTGTGTATAGGGAATGTCACAATACATAAAAATTCCTTGTCAAAGCATCTCACCAAAACCGCGTAAATCAATGAAAAAGGGCAATTAAGGGAGCGTTCTTTACTTCAACTAAACCAGACAGACAGTGTCCAATTTACACTTTAGCTCTTAATTTATTTGTAAGAGCCTTTCCACTTGCTCAGGAAGCATCCCATGGTTAGGACAAAGACAGCCCTGTCTGTTAGGCCTAAGTGATGGCTACTTTTCTACACAAAATAATTTCTAATACCTACCTGGTATACTGAACAGAGTATTTACAAATCCTATAGTGTCAGATTACTTTTTTCTCTACAATCTTTGTGTTCTACTGCTGAATCAAATACTAAATTTTATTTGAGAGAACCATAATCTCCTATCATTGCCTGCAAAAGCACCAGAAATTGAACTTTTAAATTTGCATGCAGTTCCCCAATTTCTTTTCTCTTCTTTAAAGCATGTAGCACTCTGATCAAACAAGTTCCTTTCTGACGTACAACCTGGCTAACCAAGGTTTGAAACTGTGGCCTGAATCATATTAGAAGATCAACTGGAACAGACCTATTGAATCAATGAGATTTCTGTAAGGGCCGACTCAACATTCAGCTACTGACTACAAGGGACTAGCATAGGCTTAGGGTTTTATGTTGATTTTAAATCTTAATCAGGAGGAAACTACAGTTGACATCAGTGCAGAGTCTGTAGACACAATGACTATGATACAGTCCACACTGGAAGAGGGAGGAAGGTAAGAATTTATACAACGACCCTCAAGTTGCAATGGTTCTCTCGGCAGCCTGTGGCCAGACAACTCCTCCAAGTCTTAAACATCCTCCATTTGAAATACTACTGGTCTACTTGACAAGGCTGGTGCAATAATTACAGAGATGAGCTCATGTTACTTCAGCCCTTAACACACTATCCTTTGGCCCTTAAGAGAAATACCACATAAAACAAACCACACGCAGCAGCAATAACCAAAACCAACACCAAATATCATGCAACTCTCCATGAGAGTTGTGCAATGCTTTAACAAAGAAAAAATCCCCAAAAAACATGTTTTAAACTTTCAGTACTGCGGTGGCCTATGGCAAGCAAACTAGACAGGAAAGCAGCTTATCTGTTTATTTATTTTGACCTAGAAGGAATAGGGGGGATATGGAGAAATTCACAAAGCCTGTCAAAAAAATAGATTTTTTAAAAATTGATCTCTACATTTTTCCCCGTTTGATACCATTGATGAATACGTCACTGCAGTCCAAGAACATCTGGAGGCCCAAGGTTGGGGACCACTGCCTTAAGGTACAACAAATGCCCCACAGTGTGTCCAATACTATAACTGCATGGATGGGGTCAATTATCTGGATCAACCCTAATCAAAGGACAGCTTCCCAGCAGGGTGGGGAACAACTAGCTTTGGATGACCTACACAAGCAAATCAGTGTAGTTCAGTGTTTTTGTTCAGCAGTGGAGCCAGGCGTAGGTCTTGAAACATTGCCATTTTTGACATGGTGGTTCAGAGGGAACATCAGCTGCCAGGTGTTCTTTGTGCAGACAACATCCAAGCTACATTCATTCCAGTCAAAATGAATACTTGATAAGGCACCAGAAAGGACAGTTCCATAGACTCATATTGAGAATGCATAGATGGAGTTCCAGAATGTATATCAAATTATCAGACCGAGACATGGGCGCAAGGTATAATCCAGCCTTACCCCAAACACCAAAGCTTAGGCACTCGTTTTGTTGCTTTTTTCCTCTCCAAATAATGCACCTGATATTGAAGGCTGATCACCCAAACTAAGGGTTGCGATCACACAGAGAAATAGATCACATTTTAGATCATCTGTAGTGCAATCCATTTCCTGGCAATCACACAACACTCCAGCCCACTTGTGATCTGTACCCAAGCTGGATCTTTTGGGGGCTTTTTTGGGGCTGGGCTGAAGCAGTTCCTCAACAGATGGAAAGGTTACTTTAAGGAAGAGCATTCCCTGCAAAGCAACCCTTTCTGGTGCAATGAGACATGCACCTTCCCCACCATCTGACTGCACCGACTTATGCTGAAACGCACACTCAACCTTTTTTTTTTTTAAAAAAAAGACCATTATAAAAATTAAGGGGGGAAGATTAAAAAAAACCCTCCAGTATTCTATTTGTCACATAAATCTTCTATAAAAGGAAGGCTAGGGTAAAATACTGTATTCATATAAATGCATAAGAATAACCAATAGAAAAAATTTTAAAAATATATAAATTCATTTTTAAAGGTTCCCTGTGTCCTTCTAGAGCATCTATACAATTTATGTTTCCATAGAGGTGACAAGTAGCCCAAGAATCACATTTCCCCACGTCTATGGGCTTTTGCTGCCCCAGCACCAGCTTCCTCCTCCTCTTCTTCCTCCTCTTCATAATTTTCATCATGACCTTCTTTCTGATGGTTTTCTTCTTGGATTTCTTGGTCTTGATCAGCACCTTCACTGATTTTCTCTTCAGCCTGGAAAGCATTGGGGGAAGGGGGGGGGAAATATTCAGACTTTGTCGACAGCAAAAAAACCAACAACACATACTTCATGGGTAAAATTCTACCGTGGATTTTTGAAGCAGCTGTTAACAACAAAATAGATCAACACTACAGGGTCAGAAGTGTTAGCAGAGTATGGGGAAAATATGTTATGCTGCTTTCGGCTGTTCAAATTCTATGATTAGTAAAGCCTTGAACTCAAGTAGCAGCCTGGCTGTGTCCTCTGGGTATAACTTGCCGGCGAAGTGCGAGCACAGAAGCATGAGAAAACAGCTGGAGTGACATACTGTGCTAACTACAGAAGAACCCTAAAGCTTCTTCAGTTCTTTTGCTAGACATTTTTTAAAAGCCAGAATTAAGCTTGAGGTGTTTCTCGGTACGGTAGTACACCCATTAAGTTTAGTCAAGTGATCATGTATTATTTGACACAGGTCAAATACTCAAGGATATCGACAAGGTCTCTAAGTGGCAGCTAAAAGTCTCTGATGTGTCACAGGGTAATCTGTGGCAATGAAAGGAGTGCCACTTACTCCTTAGTCTTGCACCAGGCAGGATCTCCATTTCAGCCACAAACAGAGAAATAATAGCCTACTCATTTAGAAGGCATTCCATGCCCAGTCCAAAGAATTACAATTTGGTCTGGAAATAACTGGACATTGACACAAGTTTTGTTATTTTACCAAAATAAATTCGAGTTACGGGTAAATAATGTATATGAGCTCAATTTTAATTTGAAAGTACTCACATCCAAATTGGAGGAAGGGTTTAGGAATTACACGTAACTTTCTTTTTCAAGGTACCAGAAATAATTGGACAACTGATTAAAAAGCTGTTCCATGGACAGGTGTGGAATATTTCTTCATTATTTCATCATGAATGAATCAGGTAAAAGGTCTGGAATTGATTCCAGGTATGGCATTTACATTTGGAAGCTGCTGCTGTAAACCCACAACATGTGTTCAAAGATGCTCTCAATGCAAGTGAAACAGGCCATCCTCAAGCTGCAAAAAAGGAAAGGAAAGGATGGAGAGATAGCAGGGACATTGGGAGTGGCCAAATCAACAGTTTGGTACATTCTGAGAAAAACAGAACACACTGGTGAGCTCTGCAATACAAAAAGGCCTGGACATCCACGGAAGACAACAGAGGCAGATGAACGCAGGATCCTTTCCATGGCAAAGAAAAACCCCTTCACAACATCCAGCCATATGAAGAACACTCTCCAGAAGGTAGGGATATCATTATCCAGGCCTACCATAAAGAGAAGACTTCACAAGAGCAAATACAGAGGGTTCACCACAGATTAGATTTTGCCAAAAAAACACACACAAAATATTTAAAAACCAGCCAGTTCTGAAACAGCATTCGTTGGACAGATGAAATTAAGATCAAGCTGTACCAGAATGATGGGAAGAAAAAAGTATGGAGAAGGGTCGGAATGGGTCATGAACCGAAGCATACCACATCATCTGTAAAACACAGTGGAGGCAGCGGGATGGCATGGGCATGCATGTCCTCCAATGGTACTGGGTCACTAGTGTTTACTGATGATGTGACAGAAGACACAAGCAACCAGATGAATTCTGCACTGTATAGGGATATACTGTCTGCTAAGATTCAGCCAATTTCAGTGAAGTTGACTGGACGGCACTTCACTTTACAGATAGACAACGACCCAAACCCTACTGCAAAAGCAACCCAGGAGTTTTTTTAAGGCAAAGAAGGAGAATATTCTGCAATGGCTGAATCAATCACCTGATCTCAGTCCAAGCAAGCATGCATTTCACTTGCTGTAAACAAAACTTAAGGTGGATAGACCCATGAACAAACAACAACTGAAGGCAGCTGCAGTAAAGATCTGGCAAAGTATCACAAAGGAGGAAGCCCAGCGTCCGGTGATGCCCTTGCGATCCGGACTTCAGGCAGTCATTGACTGCAAAGGATTCTCAACAAAGTATTAAAGATGAACATTTTATTTTGATTAATTTGTCCAATTACATTTGAGCCTACGAAATAAGAGGACTGTTTATGAAAATGGTTGCAATTCCTAAACGTTTCATACGACATTTTTGTTCAGCCCCTTGAATTAAAGATGAAAGACTGCAGTTCAATTCCATCTTGGTTGTTTCACTTCAAATCCATTGTGGTGGGGTAAAGAGCCAGAATTACAAAAATTGTGTCAATGTCCCAATTATTTCCGGACCTAACTGTAATTTTTCCAATGTACAGTCCAGGAAACCGCACACGTGCACATGCACACACACACGCACACACAGAGTTTCAGGTCAGAGTGACAATGTATACAAGTGCCACTGGTTAACATATGCCAAAATCAATTCCCTCCCCTGCAGGGTATTCCCTGACATTCGACTCTCCAAGCACTACGATTTCCCCCCATTCTCCTGTTGAGGAATGGTGTCCTGCTGCCTGTTGCTCATCTGAAGGACTCACATACAATAGGAGAAAAAGTTAAGAGGAAGTGAACGCGTGGATTCGATCTTACGACTGCTTGGTCTTCTGACCCTGCAGCACAGGCTTCTGCGGTTTAGCCCGCAGCGCCACCACGTCCCAAGAAAAAGTTAAGAGGAAGTGAATTCCTTTGAATGAGATGAGGGGAGTCCAGCACTCATATGCCCACTTGCTGGTGTTGTGGCCCCATCAAGACCCCTAACAGGCCTTCAGAGGCCCAATGTAGGCGAAGTAACCGCAAGATGCTTTGCTTCACAACAGATGGGGGGAGAAGCAGAAGGAACAGCAGTGAGGTAATCAGCCAGTGCCTGCAACATTTACTAGTGTTCACACTGCAGACACATGGGGGTGAGCCTGAGGCAATTCCAACTGCTGAGAGCTTGTTTTTAATAAAGGACTAGGCTTTTCTTGACAGTCAGTTTTCATATTATTATGATTCTGTGTTGCTACTCTTGCAATAAAATGATGCTTTAAAAATGCCTGAACATGATATAAACAAGGTGTGTTTTACTGTTGTCGCCCATAAGATTATAAATACAAGCACAACTTGTAATACTGCCCCCACAGATAACAGGTTTTGTGCATTTATAGAATGATTTGTATTGTATATATGTTTGTGTCCCTGTTGCATGCAGACGCCTCCATCTTTTCTGGTTCTTGACCTTTGTTAAATTTATAACACCCGCGCGAGTCAGGAGGTGAGGCTGAGGAGCCTGACGCTGAGAGAGGCCCGGAAGGAGAAAACACGAAACCGGGCCTTCTCGGCGGTGGCTCCTCTCCCTCCGGAGATTCGCGCAGCCCTCACGCTGGGCATCTTTAAAACCCAACTAAAAACATGGCTGTTTATCCAGGCCTTCCCTCCAGCCAATTCTTGTTTAATATTTGTATACTTATTGTTTTAGCTTTAATATTGTCTTTCATTGAAGTAAGCTGCCACTTTATACCCATTGTTCTTAGTTTGAAATATTGTCTTTTAATGATGTAAGCCACCATGGGCCCTTTTTCTAGGAGAAAGGTGGGGTAAAAAATCAATCAATCAATCAATCAATCAATCAATCAATCAATCAATCAATCAATCAATCAATCAATCAATCAATCGTTGGCCAGGATCATGTTAGTTTTTGCATAATGTTTGCGCAACCTGCTGCAGTTAAATGATGCCAAATGATGAGTTGTCAGGGTGGATCCTGGCCATGTGCCTGGTCACATGCCTGACTCTGTCACTGGGATTAATCCCAGCACCTTAGAAATTCACTACAGGTCCCCACAACAAAGTCATACAAACTATACACAAAGTGTCAAAAGGATTCCATCTGTTGCTTGGAAATAGCTTCCGATGCTGCCAGTAATATGTCAATACTATTTGACATAACTCCCTGAATCACAGGGTTGAACCAAATGTTAGATGATTGATACTAAAGACCTCCAAGTTAGAAAGGTATTCCTACTGAAGTGAAAGATGCTAACAAGTAGGATCAGTTTCAGGGGAATGTGAAAAATAAAATTACCACCTTAAATTTTGACTTAATCTCTCAAGTCTCAGCAGAAAAGACAGTAACAAAGAGAGCCAACAGAAGATGCACCGACCAAGGAAAAAAGGACTCATTTCCCACAATAGTGCTTCCTTGGCTGGCTGAATCTCCCATGCCCACCCAGGTCACGAAGCAATCCCTACGTTTTCATCGTTTTCACCATATGGCTCTTCTCCATTGTGTTCCAGCTCCTGCTTCTTCTCCTCAGTCAAATCTCCCTGGGCCTGTAAGAAAAAAACATATCCAGTTGTGGAAGAAAGCAAGGTCCTCTCAAAAGCTACATGTGAGACATCTCCTTACAATATGAAAAAGGGGAGGAAAACAGTTGCTTTTTATAGAATCATATAATACCTGAATTGAAGGGACCTATAAGGCCATCAAGTCCCCTGCCCAATGCAGGAATACAAATCCAAGCAGATCTGACAAATAGCCGTACAATTTTCTATTGAATGCCTCTAGCTTTGGAGTGTTCACCACCTCCCAAGGTAATTAGTTCCATCGTTGTACTGCTCTAACAGTTAAGAGGTTTTTCCTGATATGCAACCTAAATCTGTCTTCCTGCAGCTTGAGTCCATTATTACATGTCCTTCACTCTGGGATGATACAGAAGCGATCCTGCCCTCCCTCTCTATGACTACCTTTCAAGTATTTGAAAGTGCTGTCATATTTCCTCTCAGTCTTCCTTTTCTCAACAATAAACATGCTCAGTTCTTTCAACCTTTTAAGGAGAGTGCTTTGGCATGAAGAGAGTATTATCTGCTTTATTACATGTCTACAACCTTTTATTCCATCACGGGCATGCTTTTCTCAGGACTGTTGAAAGGTGGAATCATCCTGTACTGATGGAGTTAGAGCCAGAGATCCTCAGGCTGTCATCTCTTTCTTTCTCTCCTTCTCTATGTCCCTCTCTTCAACCCTACATACACAATAGGCTGCTGAAAGGCAGAAGCCTGTTGCTTCTCCCAGACTTTCAAAACAATTGCTCATAGAGTGCTTTTGAAATTGTTCCAATAGCCAGAGGTGAGGGTTGTTGTGGGTTTTTCAGGCTCTTTGGCCGTGTTCTGAAGGTTGTTCTTCCTGATGTTTCGCCAGTCTCTGCGGCTGGCATCTTCAGAGGATTAGAGTAGGAACTCTGCCCATGCAGGCTATCAACTTGGCAAGAATGGGTTTGGGATGTAAGTCCTCACTTGCCTCACATCTGCAGCCATTAATGGGGAAGATAAACCACCTTCTTCTTGCTAGTGTGGATAGCAAGGATGTTCTAGGTCTTCCTAATTCAGTTCTTGCATTTGCAGCAATGATCTCTTATACAAAAGCTGAAAGAAGTAAATGCTTAGCTCAGTCGTTTAAGTATCTGGCTGCAGAGCCAGAAGTTGGGAGTTCAATTCCCTATTGTGCCTCCTTGACAGGGTCTGGACCCAATGATCCATAGGGTGCCTTCTGGCTCTGCACTTCTGAAATTAAACTAGTGTTCTCTTCTCCTTAAGTAACAAAGCACACATGAAGAGTAGAACAGAGAAGGAAGAAGCAGACAAAGCATTGGCTGCTTTAAATGTCAACAGATATATCCTGCATATTTCATTTAACATTCCCCTCCGACAAAAAGAAGCTTAGGCCCAGAAGCCCACCTTCCCGGGCCCTCCAGAGGGGACCACCTTTATGTACTCACCTCTTTAAAATGTCTTCCTCACCTCCCTTCTCCATCCAGGTTTTCTAACTGACAAAGACAGTGATGCTAATGGCACACAACATATCAGTGGGAGTCCATGTCTTCCAAACAGCAGGGTACCCCAGCTGCTGGTATTGGGATGAAAGGAAAAACCAGCAGCTGCTTGACTGGCAGACATCTCCAGCCTGTGTCTTGGACGCCGGGAAACCCAGTGGGGTTTTGCACACACACACACTGCTACTCATCTACAGGGAAACAAAGGTTAGCTAGCCCCTGCCACTCCTCACAAGAGCTTGTGTGGGGATCAAATGCTTCACTTCTCTGGCTCTCTGCATGCAAGACAAGCAGAGCTAAGGCTCCAAACTGTTGCTCTAGCAACTGCTCTTTGCCTGCTACATCTCATTCCTTTCTCCAGGAACTTAAAACTAAAAGCCGCCAACCACTTCGCCAACACCAAGCCCATACTCGTGAGACCTCTCTGGTATTCTCTCAGTAGGAAACCTTGCCTGTAGAGCAGTGATGGTGCGGTGATGTGGTCTTCCCTGTATCTAGGACAGAGGCTGAGAAAAGAAGTGAGAAGCTGCAAATGTTCTTTTGAATCCAGACACCAGCAGTATTGAACAAGAAAACTGGCCCTTAAGGAAATGCACAGCCCTGCTGGTCAGGAGGGTGGAAAACGAGGCTCCAACTGGGTGATCTGCAGAGGCTTTTGTGCCTGTAGCATTATGTCCTCTATCTGGTAGAAACCTGGACTGGGAAGGGAAGAGACAGAGAAGTTTTAAAAAGTTGGAGGTCCCAAAGTCTCACCCCTCAGAAGCGCTGGAGTAGGATGAGAAAGTCAGACACTGCGGCATAAATTTCTCCCCACCAGCAGAAGATGAAATGAAAAATGGTGTATTTGTTGACATACAACAATTTCAAGCAGTTGATAGGTTGTCTGCCTCTTTCTTGTTTTGCTTGTTTTATGTATGTGTCCTTCTGTTTCCTTTTTCCCTCCTGCATAGAGCCCCCCCTTTTCTTTTTTGGCTTCCTTTCCTTCGGGGGGGGGTCCAAAGGGAAGGAGAGGCGGTGACTGGGTCTCTTCCCCCACTTTCCCCCCCACTTTATTCTCTCCCCCCTTCCGTCTTCCCTGCCCCCTCCCTCCTTTTTCCACCTCTAGACCGACTCTCCAGGTGACACCCCCACACCAAGAGATTTCTCCCCCACGCATTGCCATGGGGCCTTTTGGATTATTTTTTTGGGGGGAGAAGAGGGCCATCATTTTTTAAACTGAGGTTTTGTTAACTTTTTTTCACCATTCGTTTTGCTTCCAATGCCCTGTTTGCCCCCCCCCACACACACACACACTGCACAAAACTACATGTCTTCCTCATTCTTTAGTTAACTCATGAAAAGAACACATTCCTGCTTCTGTGTCACTAGTGGAAATTCTTGTTTGTGCTGACAAATTGGATGATCAGGTATCGTTACTGTTATTTTATTTTATGTGCGGCCCAAACCAAATTTTCATCTTCTAATGTGGCCCAGGGAAGGTGAAAGGTTGGACACCCCTGGTCTAGCCCTTGATAGTTATGTTTTGTTGACATTATAGGGACCTTGCTCTTAGCTGGAGGTGAGGAATCTCACAAGGCTTAAAAATCCTCATCAAAGTGCACCATGTTGTCAAGACAATCTAACTGAAAAGAATTAGCAACTGAGTGAGTAGTGTTCTTCAGTTCCAGCTCTGCAGTCCTTAGATGATTATAATGATGATGACGATATCTTTAGCATGAACTACACATGATACTCATAGATGTTCTTTCCAGATTCAAAAATGTGGAAATTTGTTAAGACTTGGAGATTGCTCCTTTGCTGTTTGTTTTTATCTTACTTTTATATTATGATTCTATCCTTCTGTTCCCTCAGGGAGCTCAGGGTGAAAACAGCTTTCCCTACACTTCTCCATGTTATCCTCACAACAATTCTGTGAAGTACATTAGGCTAAGGGAAGAGTTATTTACCTCCTCTTCTCCCTCTTCCTGGTACTGCTCATCAACAGTGTCTTCTTGCTGATCAGGGTTGCCTACCATCTGTAAACAAAACAGACACACCCATCAACATCAGCCCCTTGTCATCTCTCCAAACAGAAGGACCCCCAAATCAAGGATTTAATGAACCTAAGTTTCCACAGGGGCTGAGGGAGTCTTCTTCCTTGAAGACAGAACCTTCTCTCTCTAACATTAGGGGATGGCAGGTGATTTCAAAAGGCCTCTGAACAGGGTGGCTTTAGGATCAGCAGAGGATGCCTTCCCCCAAAGTTTCAGAGTGGGGTGCTCACCTCCAGTCATGGGTTGCCTATCCCTTTGGACATCGGTATAGGAGCAACAGCTTGTAATGTAATGTATACCCCATATCACAAGGAAGTGTTTATAGGAATATACAGTGGTGCCTTGCAAGACAATTGCCCTGCAGGACGATTAAACTGCAAGACGATTGGTTTTTTCGATCGCAAGACGATGTTTTCTATGGACAGTATTCGCAAAATGACAATTTTTCCCCATTGGAATGCATTAAATAGATTTTAATGCATTCCAATGGGGAACTGCGTTTCGCAAGACACTGTTTTCACAAGACGCTTTTCGCAGAACGAATTAACATCTTATGAGGCACCACTGTAGTCTTGAAGAGATCTTATTTAGGGGTGTGCCCTGAAACAGCTCTGTTTTCACCACTCTTCTAAAAATTCATTGAGGGCATTGAAAATTCATTGAGAATTTCGTCTAGAAAGGAGAGCTGGTTTGCTAACGAGACAACACTTTGCTGTTTTTACATAGAGAGAGGATGTCTGCACCCAAGAAAACAGAGGAACAACTATCCTATAATGCACTCTGTAACTGTTAACGAAGGCTACAAAATTGACTGATGTTATGTATCATATCCAAGATAGTTTCTATGATTTTCTAGGTTTTTACTTTGAACACTTTTGATTCCGAACACTCCCAAAATAGAATTTCGCATACACAACCCAAGTGTTCAGATATTCAGAGCTCTCTTACACATCTCTCTCCCAAAGACCTCTATTACTGCACGTTATGTGTAGCTGCTAGCTTTTTTAAAAAAAAAATCAGGAGAGAACTTAGAACAGCAATCTTTAAAAGCTATTTGATAAGCTGAGCTATATTTCTTGCTGTTATTTCTAAAAAGCCACTTATGTTTTATAGGTGTTTGATTGTATTTATTCTCTAGCCATTTTCAAAGGAAACTAAAGAAATAGTTGATGATTGCTCTTTTATTGATTACTCTACCCAGCAGATCTGCTCACTTCTATTCTATATACTTGTTGTTAAACAGAGAAACAATTGTGTCACTTGGTGTGGCTACATTTTTATCAGATGCAACAGGAATAAGAAGACAAATGCTTGGTGCTCATGAAGGCTCCCAGGGGCTGTATTAATATTAATATTTTTCTATCTGATTTCTATAGTTCTGTAATATGTATGGATTTTTGTTTGTTTGTATTCTGGTCTGTTGACTGTAATAAACCATTCTGTGTTTTAACAAATTTTAAAAAAACAACAAACAAAAAACACCCAGTGGAAAAAACATTCTGAAGAAATCTAACTATGATGCTTGTCTTCAGAGTCAAGCATTTAAAATGTAACACACTTAAAACTGTTCAAAATAAAAATGGTTTGTGAGTAAAATCTTGTCAGTGTAGCTGGAAATAATTAATTTAAATTAATGTAATGCTTCCTGGCAGTGACAGATTTTACTTTCTTGGGCTCCATGATCACTGCAGATGGTGACAGCGGCCACGAAATTAAAAGATGCCTGCTTCTTGGGAGGAAAGCAATGACAAACTTAGACAGCATCCTAAAAAGCAGAGACATCACCTTGCCGACAAAGGTCCACATCGTCAAAACTATGGTTTTTCCAATAGGAATGTACAGAAGTGCGAGCTGGACCATAAAGAAGGCTGACCATCGAAGAATTGATGCTTTTGAATTGTGGTGCTGGAGGAGACTCTTGAGAGTCCCCAGGAATACAAGGAAATCAGATGTATCCATTTTGAAGGAAATCAACTTTGAGTCCTCACTGGAAGGACAGATCCTGAAGCTGAGGCTCCAATACTTTGGCCATCTCATGAGAAGAGAAGACTCCCTGGAAAAACCCCTGATGTTGGTAAAGTGTGAAAGCAAGAGGAGAAGGGGACGACAGAGGATGAGATGGTTGGACAGTGTCACCAAAGCTACCAACATGACTTTGACCCAACTCCGGGAGGCAGTGGAAGACAGGAGGGCCTGCCGTGCTCTGGTCCGTGGGGTCACAAAGAGTCGGACACAACTTAACGACTAAACAACAACAATGCTTCATATCTCCTAATTTTGGCTTCTGAGGCTTCCTGGGGCTCCCTTTTGCCTTGGGGAAGCCTTTGGGAGCCTATGGAGAAAACACTTTAATAGTCAAAAATTGCTACGGGATTGCCACGCAAGCATAAGCCCAAACCAGTGGTAGGGAACCTTGGCCCTTGAGGCTGCACCCTCTTCTCTCTGATACTATTGTTTGGTGGCTTTCAGCTGAAATCCTGTTGCTCTGTTTACACACGTGAATGGCAAACCACAGGCAAACAGCATGAACGTTCAGTTGATTCTAGCTGGCAATTAACAAGTCACTACTGAGAATTGAGAGGGTGGCACAATCTCTGCAGGGACTCTTTAATTGACAGTGAGAAGGCACTGAAAGTTACTGTTTGCATTCTGCAGAGACAATAGAGCAACAAGATCTTTACAGGTTGTTTTCCCACACTTTACCACCGCTTGCTCACTGTCAATAAGAAGTTTAATCTAAAACATTCTAGTATTTCTGTTTTTCTTGGTTCCACCCTTCTTCCTTTGACTCTGTCTACCAGTGAAATGGAGCTGAAAACATCTCGGGAACAATTTGGCCTTTGAGATGAAAGAGGTTTCTCACTCTAGCTAGGTTACTGCTATATAAACAACCTTCAGGCCCATGCACTCTCTATGATGCTCCCCCATTTTTTTCCTGTTGCGGAGACTGGAAGAATCCATTTGTGACTTCATTTAACCACAGTTAATCATTTTGTTCAAAGCTGGATATGGTTAATATAAGCTATTTTTTCCCCCAAATAAGTCCAAATCAAACCATAATCCTAGCTAGTATGTAAAAGCCACAGGAATAACAACTATAATTCTCAATACAGACAAAACTACAAATTCACTTAGCTGAAAACAAAGACATGTTTCAAATCTCATCCCTGCGACTATGCCAGAGGGGAAAAGGATGAGGCACATAATAAATAAACTACATTTCTTTACAGGAATCTCAAACCTTTATGGGCTATTGAATGTTGAATTAACACCAACAAAAGTAACATATTTGAAGGAAGGTGTGACATCTCATATCCCTATGCAATTCATCAATGGATTATGTATTTCTAAAATGATGAATACACACCCATCAAATAAGTAGAAAGGTGTATGAAATTCTTCTCATCCAGATTTTGTCCTTCAACAATTCTAGATTACCTGATGTACTATGTGACACGGCAGCATTCAGAGATAAGCAATTTGAATGTCTTCTAATTGGGATTTTTCATCTACCTACAAACTACGGTGTATGTGTAATTTGCTGTAGCTTTTATTTTCCTTTGTTGATTGGATAAATATAAGAAATAAATCATAAGCACCAACCTTCGTATGCACCGATTTTAAAACTTCAGAAACTCTCTGTCCAATTGAAAGGAAGGCAAAGAAGTCATAGAACACGAAGGACCATCATCCTGTGCCATCAATTCAATTCTAACTTACGGTGACTTTTTTTCAGGTTTTTCTAGGAAGAAAGTACTAAGAAGGGGTTTACCATTCCATTCTTCTAGGGGCAGCCTGGAACTGTGTAGCTTGCCTATGACTACACAGGCTGGCTCTACTCACAGGAAGTACAGTGGAGAATCAAACTCCACCTCTAGCTCCACAGATACTTAAACCACTGAGCTATCCAGCCAGCTCCACAGAAGACATACAAATTGGGAAAGGCTGATTTCCAGCAACAGTCCATGGGAACGCAGGACAAACAGGAATGGCCTTCTGTTGTGAAGCATTATGTGAGGTGATGTTTAACCATGGTTTTGTAACGCATCTCTCATATATACAAGACCAGAACTTGAAGAAGTTACTTTTTTGGAGAACAACTCCCTAGAATACTCCAAGCAGCACCGTCAGGCCAATGCACGATTTACAACCATAATCTTTTCTAAACTCACCACTAAGTGCTCATCCATGTCAGGATTCTCTTGCTTTGCGTTATTTGGTTTTAGCTGCTGATTTTCATCAGGTAAATTCTCTTCTCTCTCTTGTTCTGCTTCTTCGAATTCATCTTCTCCCTGATTGTTGGGATCATCGGCTGGATTGACATCATCCCCAGCTTCCTTCTGCATTTGAAAAAACATAAGAAGTCAAAAGGATTTCAACAACAACGTGCCTTTCACTTCAACGCTAACCAATGTCACCTTGCACTCAGGTTCATCCTTCTATTTGCTCAAGGTTTTCAGAAGGAAGTACAATTGAAATGCATGTTTCTGATGATTCCTTCACTGCAAGAAAAACCTGACTGAACAAATTTACATTTATTTGTTTATTGCATAAATGTTTAATCTTGCATTTCTTCCACTTGGGGAACTCAATGTATGTAGCAGCGAAATGTAGAAAGGATGAACACAACAGCAAATAGCATGACAAGCCATCACGAAATAACGGAGTCAACAAGCAGAGAACATTCAGCTTCACTGAAGACATCTTTAGAAGGCAGGGTCTGCTCCACACACCAGAAACGAAATGTTAATGCCGAGCTAGCTTACAGTTCGTGTAGCTAGATTAGTATTTGATTCATGTATTCTAAATCAACTTTATGGGGCCATCCAGAATTGAAAATTATGAAGAAGCCTTTCCTGTAGCACGTATGGATTGATAGAGGATTTTTCTTACTTTGGATCCACTAATTAGTCAGGATGATTTATCTTATCCATTTTCTAACTAGGACTAGCATTCCTGCGCTCAGGGGAACCGAAAACCATCTGCCTTCTACAGGTCACTGTGTGAGAGACAGGGGGACTGTGGCTGGGCTGCTGCCAGCTGCCAGCTTTTTCCAAGGCAGCCTGGCTCAGTCTCCCTCTGCCTTGTAGGACTGGGCCCTGCTACTCCTGGCTGATCCGCCCCCTTCCCAACGTCAGCCACTTGGCTCAGGGGGAGAAGAGGTTTTTAAGCCGTAGCTGCTTTCAGGGCCCTACAGGATTAGCATTCCTGCGCTCAGGGGATCCGAATAACATCTGCCGTCTACAGGTCACTGTGTGAGAGGTAGCGGGACTGTGGCTGGGGTGCCAGATTCCCTGAGGTAACTGGCTGGGGAATAAGCTGGGAAACAGGGATTTGGGGTTGGGGGTGTCTCTGGGGCAACCAATAGAGGCTATATATGGCAGGGGAAGATATGGAGGTGGGCGTAGAGCATGCCCATGTAGGAGAAAGGAGGTTAGATACCTTACACCTATCTCTCTTTCTAGCTCTACTCCCAGCCAAATGGTACTAGGTGACCATATCAGCCATGCCCCTGGGCGACATGGTACTGTTGGTAAATGCCAGGTCAGCAAAAAACAAGACTGCCTTCATCCATGATTTAATTTTAGATGAGGGGGCCGACCTGGAATGCATTACTGAGACCTGGGTGGGAGAAGGAGGAGGAGTTCCTCTATCTCAGAAAACAATGTCTCATAGTACACTAGGCATCATAGCAACTGTTCACTACAAACTTGAGTAAAGCTGCTAATTGTTGTCAGTGCAATACATTTGGAGCCTGTCTTAAATACACGCTCTGGTTACATCCGGTTGTAGCTTCTTTTTTGTATAAAATGTACTACTTTCTGGTTGAAATCCAGTAGTAAGCTGTAGCTAGAACAGGCCCATTGTATCAGAGGGGATTCAATGAATGAACATCTATATAAGTGGTAAGGATTCAGTGGACCTACTCTGGCTGCAACTTACTACAGGATTTCCGCCTTATTAATTTTGCACTGAAGCATTTCTGAATCTTGTGGCTGTACATATTTTGCTAAGCTATCCATCTGTTTCGTGGAAATTAGGTAAAGGTAAAGGTTCCCCTTGACATTTAGTCCAGTCGTGTTCGACTCTAGGGGGCGGTGCTCATCCCCATTTCCAAGCCGTAGAGCCAGCGTTTGTCCGAAGACAGTTTCCGTTGTCACGTGGCCAGCGCGGCTGTACACGGAACGCTGTTTACCTTCCCACCGAGATGATACCTATTTATCTACTCGCATTTACATGCTTTTGAACTGCTAGGTTGGCGAGGAGCTGGGACAAAGCAATGGGAGCTCACTCCGTCGCGTGGATTTGATCTTATGACTGCTGGTCTTCTGACCTTGCAGCACAGAGGCTCCTGAGGTTTAACCCGCAGCACCACCACGTCCCTTCACGGAAATTAACCACCAGTTAATGGAAACAGATTCTTCATGCACTTATGGTGGCTAAACTACTGACATTGCAATGTGGAAGGAAAAAGGCCAACCCTCTCTTCCTTAATAGATTCTGGACTTTATAATATATGTGCTGCTGCTTGCTGCTTATAGACTGCCCCATAGTGCTTCAAGCACTCTCTGGGAGGCCTACAAGTTAATTATGCAGGCTGCACATTGCCCCCCCAGTGAGGTGGGTACTCATTTTACTGACCTTGGAAGGATAGAAGGCCGAGTCAACCTTGAGCCGGCTACCTGGGCATGAACCCCAGGTCGTGAGCACAGTTCTGGCTGCAGTACAACAGCTTAACCATGTGCCATGTAGACAACAGCGATACATGGATGTCTACCTGCAATTTTGATTGTCATTAAAGTCTACGTTCAGATTTCTTCACACTGTTTGACTGACTGTGCTAATTCAACTTTGTGTCTTAAGCCTCCGATTTTAAAGCTTTTAGTTTATTGTTTTAATTGAGCATTATTTAACATGCTGCATACTAATGTTGTCATTGCTTTTATCTTCTTTGCATAGTGCTTGTTAAATGGCACAGAAATTGAGAACAACAATTTGATTATGATGCTTTTGGAGAAGAAGGATATAAAAAAATAACACCAGCTCCACAATGTTAGACACCCATTCTTCCAACCTCATTTTGAATCCAAATCAACTGGATTCATTCCAATATACAAAATGATGGCCAATATTCTGTTTTATAGGAATCCCTGCACTGGAATGACATCACGGGCAGCAGCAAGCTGCCAAGAGTTTCTTTTACTTTTTCAGGGTGCATACAATGAGATGATGTTGCACGTGTCCCAAAACCAAAACAGGAACTCTTTCATTAGTACCAATCCATCACTGGCTGCTGGTGACATAATTTCCTTTGTTTTTGAGCAGACAAAGACTGCAGTCCTGGCCGGCTCCTGGAGACATCTGAAGATCATCAGCTTCCTATGCTCCTAAAGTTGTGTTGAATGCAATTACAGGAAGCCATATTTCAACTGAGTATCAGGAAAAACTTCCTAACAGTTAATGCAGTACGATACTGGGACCAATTACTGCATTTTTCCGTGTATAAGATGATACTTTTCTCTAAAATATTTAGATTAAAAATTGAGGGTTGTGGGGGAGGGATCAAAGCACTTTGATTCCTGCTTTCCCCTTCCACTTTCTGTGAAGAAGGGAAAAGCACTGTGGAGGGGAAAAGTACTTTTCTGGGAAGAAAGAAATTCTGGGTTAGAAAAATGGGGGGCATCTTATATGTGGGGGCATATTATACATGGAAAAATACGGTATCTTAAGAGGTGGCGAGTGCTCCACTAGAGGCATTCAAGAAAAACATCTGGCAGACATCCTTTGATCTGTATTCCTGCATCGAGCAGGGGGTTGGAATTGATGGCCTTATAGGCCCCTTCAAACTTCAGTACAGTATTCTATGATTCTGTGATTATCATCCTAGTTCAAATTCAGGTCACCCAGCCCATTCCAGATGTTTTGGGCTACAACTTCCACCAACATAGACATCAGTCAGGAATTGTGGCACTGCAATATGCCACATCTGGAAGGTATCTGTCTCAGCTAGACTGAAATCATATCTGCCACAAAGCTGTTATAAATACCAGAATGTTTCCTTTGCCACTCACCGGTTCCTCATTCTGCTCGTTCACTGCCTGATGGTCAAGATCATGATCCTGTTGCTCATTTGCATTGTTATGGTCTTCTTCCTCTCTTTCATCTGGATGCTGGTTCTGCCGCTCATAATCTGATAAAAATAATTTTAATGTACTTGTAAACTGCACAGAGAACTGTAGTGATTTGGAAGGTTAAAATTATAATCAAGCAATTCAGGTCATTCATTCACTATGCCTTCCTTTCCTTTCCACATTTTGAAAGAGTATCACAGGTTAAGCATAATATTTGCAAATCACAAAATGAACACCTCTCACATATTGAGCCAGAGCAAATCTGAGAGCTAGAGATGGACACAAACTCCTCCGTTCAGAGGTTCGTGTCAGTTCATACAAGCGGCACCACAGCTGCCTCTCCAGCTGGATCCCTCACCCACCAGCCAGCACGCACGCGCGCCTCTCCTCCTCCTCTTCGGCTATTCAAAGTCTCTGGCAGGAGCACAGGATTCCTTGCCCCACCTCCTTAGCTGATTGACGACTCAGCAAGGAAGCGGGACAGGCAAACCTGTGCTCCTGCTGGGGACTGGTTGAACAGCTGAA